TAAGTTAATTTAAATCATAGTGTAGACCAAGCAAATTTTACACGTAGAGCATAGGCGGCTGTACATTCATCATCTTATCGGCTCTATGACGGCACGTGACTATTTTCAACCCTATCTAGTTGAATAATTATTATTTTTCAACTTCGGATTATAATATTTTATTGACTACAATAATAAATCATATAGCTTAAAAAAAAAAAAAAAATATTGTTACCGTGTCTAATTATACATTGATTATTAGTTTTTACATTACTTTATTATTGAAATTAATAAGTATTGAAGAGATTGGTTGTAGAACAGAAATTGGGGGCACAGCGTTGCTATCTTTTCTATACCACATGTCTAATAAGGTAACATCTGAACCAACATTGACCAACTCTTCCCTCAATAACTCCAATTCTGATGAAGTAATATACGTAGGAATCGGACGGTAGCCATATTTTTGTCCCAGAAATACCTGTAGTAGATAGTAAAATGTATGATCATAAAATATAAGAATAATTAAAAACTTAATATGAAAATAATATAGCAAATTATTAATTAAGAGAATGTTAGATATTAGTGAACTTTTAATTTCTCTCTCAGACTCATGACCTATATGCCATACATAGAGAATTTCATTAGAATCAATGACGCATATATTGTTTGCCAGGGCCCTGAATACCCTTTAGCGTAGACCCATTACCCAAGATAATGAATGAATGGGTGTGTACAAAATAGGCGGTAGATTTAAGAGGTGATAGAGGGATTATATTACAATTTACAGCTATATTAGCTGTGGTAGTAACATGAATCGTGTGAGTAACTTATACATACTATACCTACTTTAACACTTCAGTACGGAACACTTATTGTAAATAGTAAAATTCATTTATTTTAAAAACTATTAAAAGGGTTTTTTTTATAAATATGTTTTGAATATTGTTTTCAAAAATGTGGTCCCCCTGGCCCTTACACAAAATCTTACATCCGTCACTAGATAAAACGTGTATGTATGTAATATTACAATGTATTATATTTTACAAAATTGTAAACAGTTTTTAGGATATGGATTTAAGTTTTACCACAAAGTTAGGTCCCATTGATAAACGTTGACAGTTTTCAATTTCTTTCATACAAAGTTCAGTTGTCATGTGATCATCTGTGGCTTCATCACGAACACCCCATCTCATATCAACCACCTAAAATTAAATAGGTATTATAAATAGGTACCGGTAGGCACCTATATGCAACTTACCAACCGTACCTGGTACGTAGATATACATCAAGGTCAAATTTATTGTATTGATTTACAAGACTTTTATATCATGTCTAATGTCTAAATACTTATAAACATGCATACTATTAATACAATAACAACTACAGTAGATTATACAGCATACATCAAATATACCATAATGTAGCCATACATGCATGTTAGCATGTTTCTGTTTTAAATTGTTTTAGTATATTTATAATTAGGTATAGGTATTCATCAATATTATAATGAATTAATAATATGGGGGGACATTTTAAGAGTACAAATTAAAAAGGGTGATTTAAAATAAATATAGAAGGCGAGATAACCAAATAGTTTATATTATTATCAATACAATATATATTAAAAAAAAGTTCACGAATAAATTTGGTAGGTATGTCCCGAATCCCGATAAAATATATTTATCAAATAGATAAACAAGCAAGAAGTATCTATAAAAAATGCATGTTATTAAGAATAGTCCATTTCCGTATTCTTGAAAAATATTTTAAGTTTTGATATATTCAAATATAAATCATATAAATAGATTAAATTATTATTAGATTATTATCTCTCAGTCTAATGTATATAAGTATCTTACACATCTTCATATCGAATGCCTACAGTTTAGATGACGCGTGTATCCTAAATTTAGCAATTACATGCAGTAGGTATTTTCGAAAGATTTCTACCTCATCACGAAATAAAAATAATAACTGCACAGTGCACAGATAGTTATGATGAGCATTCAGCTTAAAATATTATAATATTATACTACCACAGTCCTTCCTACCCAATTGGCGCAATTCCACGACTAAGAGGGGTGTTATAGCATAAGCGTGGTGAAGTGAAATATTACAATGGGCAATTCATTTTTTGAATGACCTATACCTTGCCTTGACTACTTAATATAATACTTATTATTGAAGTTATTACTCTTATTAAATATCATATATTCAGATGGAGTTAGTCTTTTACAGTAAGTTGTACTACAATTTTTCACTAAAGCTGACTAACCCACCCACCCCTTCAAAATGATCGGACAACTGCTCTTTAAAATCACGGTAAACACTCCACTGTAGCATAATATATAATTCTAAATTCTTAAGTATTCACCAATGTATTGTATTGTTTTTATTATACAAATATTTTGTAAAAATTAAGAACATTCTGGAATGCCGGAATGGACAAAATGTCAACTGTAAGTCTGTAACAATAAAGGCCTTCTCGCTGAACCTGCGTACTGCGTAGAATGCTGATTGTAGTGACTTGGTACAACTGTTTCCTTTCTTAAGTGCCCCATTCTTATAAGAGAAACAAATCTCCATCCAATAATTTTATAATATAAATACTCAAGTACCTACCTAATTATAAATAATGTAAATAAATAATCATATATCCAAGGGCGTCCGCAAGGAGGGGGATAAGTCCCCCTTGACTTTTTCTTGGACCAATTATAATAATCGTTATGTAATATCAAATACCAGACATTTTTTTCTTCACATTTTTATTTTAAAAATTATAATTTTATGATAAGGTTGCTGCTAGCTGTTTTTAAGATATTAAAAATTAATATGAAATAACTGGAACTGACTGGTATTAACTAATTAATAAGTATGGTATATTATTGGTATCATATAATCGTTTTTTAATAATAAAACTTTAAATCATCCACGTAAGAGTATAATAATTATGATCTAAGAAGAAAACAAACTTTTTTTCATTATTTTTGGTTATTTTCTAGTTTGCTTATAACTGGTAATTAGTTTAGTAGTTTGTTTCGAAATTGTACTGGCAACTCTCTAGCGATGAATAATTTTACTTGACGTTTTTAGATTTAAGTTCTCAAAATATTCAAATTATATGGTTATCTATAGAATTATCAAATAAATTATGACATTTTATTTATAAAAAAATGAATTTTTAAATTTAAAATTGTATACTAATTAATTAAAACGAATGCTGCCAGATTAAGTTTTAACTACCTATCTTAACATTATAATTCAAAAATAATTTTGACGTTCCCTACCTATACGAAACAAAACATGTCACTAACAATACTTTATCACTAATCAGATAGTGAAACAAAAATTGATAAATGAAAATATTTTGCCCCTCCTCCTAGACAAATTCCTGAGGACGCCCTTGAATAAAGCATAGTTTAGTTGGCTAATAATCTCGTTATTGATGCCACAATGATATAAAAAAAATTTAATTTCTAATTTATCTTTGTGCATAGAATTAATATATAGCTTACTATCTACTACTTAAATAATAAATAATTTTATAATTACATGATAATATATAAAGCAATAATTGAAGAACGAACAAAACATATTGCACACAAATTAGATTCACTTCATTTCGTGTCAGTTTATTTTCACCTGAAATTCTAGTCCATGTTTTTCCCGACAAAAATCCTTCAGTTTTGGATAACATTGAGCCATCAACGTATTTCTCTCCATCGTAGTATCTGAAAATGTATGTTTTTTCGAACGTCGAATTAATAATATATCATTTTAGTAATCAGTTCTTAAGAACTATCGTCATCGTAACTATCATCACGTGCCTGTAAATGTGGAGCTGGTAAAAATTCTAACAATTTTAGAACTAACTGGAGGCAAGTTCTCGAGGGAACCTGCGAAAATCAAGTCTACTGTCCGGTCGTCCATACTGTGAATTTATAGGTGGTTTAGCTGTGGAGCTTATAATATTTCGATTTTCTCCGAGGAAATTTGTGGTTGCATCGTGTTGGAATGAAGAATCACGACTGCGTGTTACCATTCCATACGTTTGGAACTCATTCGTGAAAGCACTTTTTCATAACAGTTAAACCTTATAATAATATACATATAATGTACATATATATATGTGGGTGTTTAATGCAAAACTGCAATATAGCAACCATTTGTCTCGTTATTGTTTGTTTATACAGAGCGATTCAATGGGTAAATGTCGTTCGTTATAATATTATATTGATTTTTAATTGCATGTTCTGTTGAGAACTCAAAGTTCAAACGCATTGGAGCTATAGTGAGGGAGGGGTATAATTGCATTATTCGTGTATCATACAATATTACATTATTTACAATACACATCCTGATAGTTCGTACTTCGTTTCTAACTGATTTACGATTTAGAGTAAAAACGGTCTTAGACGAAGTATAGTTGAAATAAAGTAAATAATGGCTCCTGCACAGTAGGTGGGCAGGTACCTTTCCGTTAACCATGCATAAATTTAAGTTTCAAATTTGAATAAACAAAACATTATAATATCGCGTGATGAAATAAATAGATACTATTATTAAGTAGGTAGGTATATAATAATATTATTATTTGCTGTATTAATTTATTCGTATTATTTCATTCGAGAATTGTGACCGAATTATTATTATACAAAACCATTGGAGAAATAACAACGGCACAATATTATTGACAATCGGTGAAATGAATGACCGTACCTAACGTATTATTACGAATAGGTAGGTAGGTAACAAAAAAATAATACAGCCATATATATAAGTACCTGCCACATGGGCAGCAGCTGCAGGTTCACATCGTGTTCAGACACTTCAGACATTTCAAAGAACATGCCACATGCACATAATATTTTGTACAATGCTGTTACGGGCCATACTCGCGTAGTCACGTGTGAGCAGGTGCCGCTGCCGTCACATTAAGGCGTAGAGTGTTATTTATCCTTTATCTATGATTATTTACCGCCAAGGTCTCGGGACGTTATCAATATTATTGTGGCTGTATTGATAAGAATTATCTTAGAAATCCGTGCCTGTATTATATTATGTTGTTATTATTGTTTGTTCACTACTAACTCCGAAGTCGGAGCTATTTTACTTAATTCTACTGCCAGATCCTTGCTATACATACTGTAGTAAACTATAGTAAGTCGTTGCTTGTACTGTACGTATATTAATGAAATAAAAGAATATCTCCAAGCGGTGACTACTTTAAACTGTTTAGAGTTTAGGTCATAGTTTACCAAAAAATATAACATGATACATACCTACACCAAATGAAGTTGTTTTTAAATTTTAAATTTCAACACTTACATTATCTATACACCTAGGATGTAATTATTACATTGACCGTATTCTTGCAATGATATTAATGTAATGTTTTCAAATTGTTGAAATAGCCATATTAGGTATTCAAATATGAAAACGTTTTAATTTTCTGATATTTTTTAAGCGTATACTTAGTATAGTTTGAGCGAAAACAATGATTTTGGAAGAAAACCAAAATGTCATCAAACCAAGGGTAAGAGTTAAAATACTGATTCTGTTATTACTATTTATATAATTACATTAGCATGATTAATATGTTAATATATTAAATTTAATAAGCAATTTGCAATTACTACAATACCCATAATTACCTTACCAAATACCAATTACTTACCTATATTATTAATCACTTGTTTGTTATGATTAAAATTTAAAACACTTATTGGTTTGTTCTAGTGTTTTAATTATATTCAGACTTATACTTCTGATTTATCTATTATATTTTTGCGGAAAAAATGTTTTATTGAGTAATAATTTTTAAATACTTTAACATTAAATTAATACTTTACACCTCAGACTGCAGGAATTATTTTAATGTGTAGTCTAAACTCTTAAAATCTTAAGGAACAAAACATCTATGAATTATATTTTGAATACAAAAACATTTTTTATTTAAAAATAATTTAGAAAAATATACTCTTGTGATTTATGTTTTAATTATGACTTTTAAAAATTTGAACACTTAACTCTTATATATGTAATGTATTAAATTTTATTTTATTCTTAGAATAGCCGAGCAGCTCGGCCTAAAGTTGTTTACCAATGGACTGTACAAGATGTTCAAAAATGGTTTCGTCGTCATTGCTATGATTATTATGTTTTATATGGAGAAAAATTCTTGCAGGTATTTACCTAATTAGTACATAATTAAAAACTCCTTTATTTAAGATCTTATTTAACACTTATTTTTCCTTTGGAATTGAATTGCAAGTATTTATAAGAAATATGCTTTTTATTTTAGTAATATTAATATTAATAACATGACAGTAGCATATTTAGGAAGGCATGGGGGGCAGTTGCTCTAGGCAGCAAATTGACGTATGTTATAGGTTTATTATAGGTGAGAAAAATTGCCACTATAAAAAAAAATTGTGGGGAAAGAAGGCATTAAAAAAAATGTGTACCTGGGATTACAAAATCCTAAATATGCCAATGTAAGATGATCATATTGTAAACTTATACATTTTTATAATTTAAATCTTTAAATTATTAACTGATACATTAAACATTTAAACTAATAATGGATATTTTATTGTATTGCTTAAAAACAATTAATAATAATACGTAATATAACATAATTATAAAATTGAATAATTAAAAAAAACAACATAAACATTCAAATAATACTAAACACAAAATACCACAAATTATATTTCTATAAATAAATATTATGATTGATTACTATATCTTCATTTATTTTCAGCATGAAATAATTGGACGCGCTTTAATAAGAATAAATGAAAATCAACTGTATCGTATGGGCATTATAAATCCAGATCATAGTCAAGATATTTGTCGAGAAATACTTAAACTACGTCTTAAAACTTATATTTTAGAGTTTAGAGATCTGGAACGCAACAATCTTTATGATTAAACTTTCAAATTTCTACAAGTAATTATTCTAAATCTAATAACTGCATCATGTTTAGTATATCTCCAGTCTGTCTTGAAACCGAATCGTCCATTTCCATTCTGATATTTTGTAAAGACAAATTGCTAGTAATTTGAGTAAAATCTAAAATATTGTGTTCTGAAATTTTTTCTTCTTTTTTGCTGAAATAAAATTGTTTATATATTTAATTTATAAACATTTATTCTGTGGTTACACAATCATTATCTTATTTAATTTCATTGAAAAATATGCCTAACTTTAAATCATACAATTTTAAATCTATAGTCTTGTAATATCAATGTCATTAAATAATTAAAAATAAAACACAAATTTTTGGATAAATATTTTATTCTTATTACTTTTCATTTGTATTTAATGAAGTTTCTAATATTTCAAGATCCAAATCACTGATTTCTTTACTATCATTATCATTTCCCATCAATTGGGTAACAAAAAGATCCATCTCTTGTTTATATCCATCACGACTAGTCTGGCCATTAAATAATGGATCTGATGTTTCTTCAGATGGTTGCTTAATATTTTTATTAATATTAAATCTAAAAAAAAAAAATATTTATTATACTATGTTGATGTTTTTATCTGTTTTTTTTTTCTAGTTTTACATCGAAAGCCCAAGAGTAGTGATCCGAGGACTATTAGGCTTAATTGAACCTACTTCAGTTTCTACTTTGTAAAATGATATTGGATGAAATGTACTTATGTCGATAAGAGTACTATTTTTATTGAATACTCTTATAACACCTGGAGCTTCACATCCTGCAATACATTATTAATATAATATCTGAAATATTTTGATAATAACTACTACCTACTTAAAATCATTTTACTATTAAACTACTATTTTAAGTTTATTTTAAGAATACCAATAATTTATTTTTTACAAACTATTATAATTTAAATTTAACTATTCCAGCATAATTGTTGTTTTTTTATATAAAGAACTGAATGTGTTATTTTAATTGTACATTATTATTATAAAATGGTTTACTACTGAAATTATTTATTTTATTATTTATAAAAAAAATATTTTTATAAACAATTATGATAATTAGTTAATATTTTAAACAAATGTTCTATTATTAATATAGTATACAAATTTAGGTTAGGTAAAAACCTTACAAAGTAAGATATATATTAATATAAATAGCTGAATATATGCTGATTTAAAAATAATAAGATGTCAACGAATTAAAACTGTGTTTGTGCAAAAAATATCCTTACAATTTGCAAGGCATTAACCATAATAATAGTTTGATATACAATAATGTTATGATAAAAATTACAAACCTCATTTTCAAATAATAATAAATGTTTCAAATTCATAATGGAGCAAAATATACACTTTTTTAAATATTTTATAAATTATTTTTAACATAACAAGATAAATAATGACTACATAAAATACAATTTATGATCTAAACTACAATTATACTTAACCATATGGAATCACCCATTTTCCCACTGAAACAAATGACCCGTTGTATCGTTGTAAACCTTCTTTAATAAATATTGTAACTTTAACATGTATATCTTGCAAATAATTCAACATTGCATAACGTACTCTCATTATTTCTCCATTTGTCATTTTCTCAAAAGTCTTTATCAATAACAAATTATAGTTATTCAAATTTCAAGCTTTGTATTAATGTATACCACAATTACTTGATAGAAATTGTGTTGTATGACATCAATGTTTTGTTTCAACTGATGAGTACATGCCAGTTCACGGATGGAATCTAAATGATTCAATGTTACTAATAATACTTGCCTCGGACCATTACATGAGAACATTTGCATTTTAACTGAGGTTTCTATCAAACCCATTAACTTTTCCATACTAGAATCATTTAGTCGCATTATTGAAGAATGAACCGCACAACATATACTTTTATTTAAAATATCTTTGTTAATGACAGATGTTGGTACAAACAAAAACGGACAGTTAAGTGATGCAGCAATAATGTCATTTAGAACTGCAATATATCAAATCAATTAGGTATCACATTTTATATTAGTGTAAATTTGATGTATTTATGTAAAATATTTTATTTTTTCATGTTAACGGCATTAATAATTAGTAAAATTTATAATGATGGGTACCTAATTTAGATTTGTCAATTTGAATTTTTTGCGTTTTTAATCTTTCTGCCACAACATAAATCATTTCACACACTAAATTTAAATATAAAATTGTATACGTTTGTAAAGCCATGTTTAAAAATATCAGTAAACTTAGTTATTGAAGGTTTATTAGTTTTTATACACTATAGAGGAAGGTACACAACGACCTAACTTTAATTTGTTATTGTTCAGAGGTACCATGGAGACCAAACATATAATAGTGAATAGGTAAGTAGGTACCTGCTCCTAAAGCCCTAAACAATTGTTGTTATTATTATTATTATATTCGTCTATAACAACATATTTTAACCTATAAGACGGTGATAAAAAAATTATAACCACATAACCTGTGAACAAATATGAGTTAGTTAGTCACCTATATAATATATATGTATGTAAGACGTACGAGTGTAACCTTGACCCTATAATAGTAAAATATAATGCCAACAAAATTTAGTAAATAAATATTTGTCCATAAATTGAATCATGTCAATATTTAAAACAATAACGAAAACCTAACGTTTGATTAACATACGTTATGGACATTTAAAACCGGCAGTTTCGCTGACATTTCAGCGACCAAAATTAAAATAATATCGTAAAATTGTTTATTATATTATCATATACTCAAGTAAAAGTAAGTAGGTGGTATATAATATAAATATCATAATAACATATCTCACAAACCGCAACGAGCGATACGTTACGGCGGCTTTATGCAATTATTCGTTTTCCTCTAAAACAATACGCACAATAATATATATCATATCTTTGGATTATTCCTACATAATTATTATATTGTATATGGTTTTTATCCATCCACCGAATATAATAATATTATACTTCGAACCACAATGGATGTACGGTACAACATTATTGTTCGAACAAGTGTGCAAACGCAAGCCTTAAATACGATGGGATCACAACTTTTCGTCGTCATCACTTTCATAGTGGACCGTCGCCGTAACAGCTGTGTACTATGAAAATACGTAATGATTTTATGGTATTTTTCACGGTACACCAGCCATCTCGATTTCGGCGTGCCGACCACAATAAAATAATACAACGACCGAAAACCGTAATAGCAATGACATTAATTGGTACCGTCCGCGATCGACCTGTATCTGTGGTGTTCGGCCGGAATGGTACAAATCGCGGACGACAATCCGGAAACGCGAGCGCTACACGACACGACAGCGTATTGTGCTCGAGCCATTTCCGGATTACTTGCGTAGTTGCTTGTTGCAGGACGACGACGGGAAGTCGGGAGCTCGGGGAAACAATATCGTTTACTTCCTCCGAAGTCCTCGTCACTGTAGTCGTAGTGCCGTGCGCGGACGTCGCAGAGGCGTTCGTATTTTACCGCGACAATAGTTTTATTATCGTCAGCCATTTTGCAACAGTTGTTGGTGAAACACCTGGTGCGGCGTTGCCGGACCGTCGCTGATAAGAGACGCGTCGCGTTCCGTCGGGGAAACCGCCGGACGGCAATCAGTCGGATCACTCGACACAGCCGGAACGGAACGGCCGTTGTTCGGTCCGGCAACGTGGCTACGGCTAGATTTCTCTCATATGTCCCCACCGCCCGCCCGCCCTTCCCCGCTGGGGTTCACCTCAACAAGCGGCCCGTCTCCCGCACTAACGCTGATCGGTAGCATAACGTTTGTTTACACTTTGCGTTGCATTGCATTTCGGTCGGTCCGCGTATCGTTACTCGCACGTAAAACCGTTCTGTCCCCGTCGTACCGTCCGCTTCCGTCGCGTATCCGCCGCAAACCGTCTGCTAGACCGCTAGCACTGCGCACCGAGTCCAAACGTTTCGTTTTTCGCGCCGACCGTCGCATCCGTGTCCGGCGATAATGCCATGTTAACGTCCGCTCGCTGGTCAGGTCCGATGCACGTCGTGATGTTAGTTAACCGGACAAATGTGACGAGAAATGAAACGGCATTCGGATGAACACATGGCGTCCGCGGACACTGTCGGCGCATACGCCACCGCCGCCGCCACCCGTTCACCGCCTAGGTCTAGGCCCAACCTGGTGACCATTTCCAATGTCGTCCAGTCGAACTTCGTTTCGCAGGCCATAAACAACCCGAACATACAGTTCAACACGGTGCAGCCGTTCAGCGCGCCCACAATGCCGGTCCTGGCCATCAACGACAAGGTTCCTGGTTCGTTACCCGGTGGCTCCGCCATGCCGGCCCTCCACACGATCCAGACGCAACACAATATTCAACAGATAAGGCAAAAAGTCGTGCCGCCCGCGACCATAATCCAACAGCAACAGCAGCAGCAGCAACAACAACAACAGCAACAGCAGCAGCAGCAGCAGCAGCAGACTCAGTTTCAGAGGCTCAAGGTCGAAGATGCCCTGTCCTATTTGGATCAGGTGAAATATAAATTTAGTAATCAGCCTCAAGTGTACAACGATTTCTTGGACATAATGAAAGAGTTCAAATCGCAGAGCATAGACACCCCCGGAGTGATAACACGGGTCTCAAACCTATTCAAAGGTCATCCTGAGCTCATAGTGGGTTTTAATACGTTCCTACCTCCAGGTTATAAAATAGAAATAAAAAATAACGAACTTGGCTTTCATGTTTCTGTGTCGATACCTCAAAGTCCGGCGATCACATCATCCCAGACAATTATACATTCGACAACTCAACATATTATGTCAAGCACTCCAATAGTTACTACTCCACCAGTCACTTTGACTTCAACACCGCCTGTAGTAATTAAACCAGCCGGACATACACCTACCATAAACCAGGTCAATACTACTTCGGTTGTAATAAATCACCATACGACGCACAATAGTGTGACACCAACTGCGCCTACTAGCAGTGTTCATCCAACCCAAATACCTTTGTCTGTAGCTAGTTTAAGCCAAGTGGCATCTAATATACCTCAAGTGTCGATACCTACAACTCAGGAATCAACCAACTCACAAAATCAACCAGTTGAGTTTAATCACGCCATAAATTATGTGAATAAAATTAAAAATCGTTTTCAAGGGCAACCAGAAAAATATAAAAGATTTCTGGAAATATTACATACTTATCAAAAAGAGCAAAAAACACATAAAGATAACGTGCCAGTTGCTGAAAAAACATTAACTGAAGCTGAAGTATATCAGCAAGTTGCTAAATTATTCGAAAACCAAGATGATTTACTATTGGAATTTGGACAATTTCTACCTGATGCTAAATCACCTGATGCCAAACAGGCGGCAGAAGCAATCATTGTCCCTCCTAAGAAGGCGGCTACCGTTGTTACTAGTGCACCTCCTGTAATTCCTTTGCCCCCACCACCTCCCATCAAAAAAGAACATCCGGCAGCTATTCCAATTACCAAGGAAATTATTAAAGAGTCAAGTGTTCCAAACGTAGCTTTGAAAAGAACTTCATCGTTTTCTTCCAGTCAGAATTTACCACCGCCCAAAAAACCAAAATCTCCTTTTCCTAGTTTGGGAGACGTATCATATCAAGAAGCATATAAATATGGTACATTAACAGATTTTGCATTTTTTGATCTCGTTAGAAAGTCGATTCATAATGCTGCTGCCTATGATGATTTCTTGAGATGTTTAGTTTTATATTACACTGAAATTATATCTAAATCAGAACTGCTAAATTTAGTGCAACCTTTCCTTGGAAAATACTCAGAATTATTTAGAAGATTCAAAGATTTTATTGGGACCAGTGAAAAAAGTAATAATGCTGCTGCAGTTCCAACGGAAAACAAACTTTGTGGCTTACCACATTTTTCGTTACTCGACCCTGGATCTAATCGTCAAGATAGATCTGCTGGTGATCTACCCACTGATATAGATTATAGTATCTGTAAAAGGTTAGGTGCAAGTTATTGTGCTGTACCCTCAGATTATCTAACTCCTAAATGTAGTGGTAGGACGAAAATGTGTTATGAAGTACTGAATGACACGTGGGTTTCTTTCCCTACGTGGTCTGAAGAATCATCATTTGCCACTAGTCGAAAAACACAATACGAAGAATATATGCATAGGTGCGAAGATGAAAGATTTGAACTCGATCTCGTAATGGAAGTTAATTTGGCAGCAATATATTGTTTAGAAGAACTAACAAGAAGATTTAATAGAATGACACCTGAAGAACTATCGAAATTTAAAATGGAAGACTGTAGTTTTGGTAGTGATACAACTTCAATGACAACCAATAGGCGTGCTATTAAAAGATTATATGGTGATAAGACAACTGATATACTTGAAGGACTTCAAAAAAATCCATTAACTGCTGTTCCGATAGTTTTAAAAAGGCTAAAATCCAAAAATGAAGAATGGAAGGTAGCAAGAAATACTTTTAATGAAATATGGAAAAGTCAAAATGAAAAATACTATCTTAAATCATTAGACCATCAAGGTGTTAATTTTAAACAAAGTGACATGAAATTTCTTAGGTCAAAATCATTATTAAATGAAATTGAAACTTTATACGATGAGCGGAATGAACAGAGTGATACTATCACTGGACCTCATATGGTGTTTTCATATGTTGATAAATCAATTATAGATGATGCTGCTAATTTGTTGATACATCATGTCAAGAGACAAGCAAGCATTAATAAAGAAGACAAACAAAAAATAAAATCACTTATTAGAAGGTTCATCCCTGATATGTTTCATCATCCAAGGCAAGAGTTAAGTGACGATGAACGTGATGGTCAAAATGATTGTTCTAATAATAATTCACCTGAAACAACTAAAGCATCTTTGCGAATCTCCGAAGAAAAAGATGTACCCGAGCTTAAAATAACAGATAACGATAAATTAAAAGCGCCTGAACATTCTAGTACAGAAGAATGTTACACTTTATTTTATGGTAATAATAACTGGTATTTGTTCCTCAGACTACATCATATACTATGTGATCGGCTTACTCAAATATATAAAAAAGCCTCACAGTTGCTTCATGAAGAATGTATTTACCAAGTGACTAGGTCAGAGACTGCAGCTTCAAAACTTCATCTCAATCCCAATTCATCAATTCTGTTAGAAGACTATTATCCTGCTCTACTTGATATGATTAAAAATGTGCTGGATGGCAACATGGATTCAAATACCTATGAAGACACGTTAAGGGAAATGTATGGTATCCACGCATATGTAGGATTTACACTCGATAAGGTTGTTGTTTATGCTGTTCGTCAATTGCAGCATTTAGTATCTGATGAATACTGTCAAGAGTGTTATAATATATTTATGAAAGAAAGTAAAAAAAACGGAACAGGTGGTCTTTGCAGTACAGCATGTCAAAGAATTGCACAAGAAGCAGCATATCAACGCAGGGCTGAAGCTGCTTTGAGTAACGATAACAATTGCTATAAAATACTTATATACAAATCTAATTGTAAACTAACGTTTGAGTTGCTGGATACCGACACAGAGGATAATCAGGACAGTGGTAAATGGACAAGTTTTGATAATGAACCTTTATCTGAAACTAATGATGATAAACAAGATGAAAACCAAAGTCCTAAAGATTAAATATTCAGTTTACTAAAATGATCTAACCTTAAATAACCAAGTATTCTATACCTTAATTATTATTTATTATTAATTTTTTACATAAATTGTTTCTACTACAATATGTAGCCTAATTTTTTCTTGCTCTGTATTGATTCCAAAGTCTCATCTGAACTATTACTTTAAAAGGTAATGTTATTAAAAAAAATAATAAATTTTTGTAACTATGTTGCTAATATTTTTAATACTGTTTCAGTTTTGCTTTATGTTTGTACATAACTATTCATTGACATTTGATGAGAATCAAATAAGCCAGTTGCCACATATTTTTTTTTCATAAAAGTAAGTTTGTTAATTTAATATTTGTAGTAAAGTTTGAAAAATTGTGTCATATTTTAAATTTATTATCTTCACATTTTTGTCCTCAACTATATTTTGGGTTTTATACAATTTTGTAATAAATGTAAATCAATGTATAATTTTAATAGTGAGTTTTCTTTGTTTTCCAGAAAAATATTGAATCAATTTCCTCGAAGATTTTGTTGGTTGAATATTCCAGGAATAACTAAGGTAAATTAATAAATATTTTTAATATGGTACAGAGACACAGAGTTAGTTAATCCTTTTGTCTATCATATATATAAATATATAGTAGTGATCATTAATTTATGAACCCTTTCGTAAAATAACTTTATGATATGTTGAATATACCCTATTTTAATTTAAAAAATATATATTATAGTAAAAAAAAACTGAGAAAAAGTTACATGTTTAAAGCTTTTTACATTTTGCCAACAATACTTGATATAAGTTAACCTAATAAAAATTTGATATATGTATCAACAATTAAATTTGACATGTCAACACATGTTCAGTAAAATTTTATGGTTTTCGTTTTTGTATTAATCGATTAATAATTGATTCAAATTATTACTTCTATTTGTTTACTTCCGAGGAAAACTAAAAAATTTTCAGCTTTCATTCAACCTCTTTGTATATCAAGCACATTTTATATTAGATAATATATTCTAATATATCATTACTTATTGAATACTGAATAATTTATTGTACAACCCCATTTTCTTTGAAATATCAAATAACCTATTTGAACCTATATAATATAAAGTCAAACTAATAAATTGATTTTTTTTTTTCAGAAAACCAATTACAAAAATATATTAATTCTTGCAACACTGGACAATGGTTTTATATTCTACATTATAAACTCTAAAACACAATGATTTGTACATTTTTACTATTGTTTAAAAAATTAATATTATGTATAGAAATACTGTATTTATGTATATTTTTTTATTTTACTTTTCTGTAGAAAATAGATAAATATTTTAATCAGTTACCAATGGATGTTTTTTTAGAACACCAATAGGAACAATATTGTGAAAATCGTGAAATTAAATTTCACTATTAGAACAAATAACCAATTTTATTAAGAATCTATTCTTTAAACTGTGAATGTAGGAACGTAGCGTTAAATAAATTATAGTTTTAAATTTAATATTATGCAGCAATAGCAAATCATGTTCAAATATGGGTTCTTCCATTGTGCATAGGTTTTTTTAAATCTGTAAACAAAAAATGTGTAATTATTTTGTTACAATTTTTTGTATTTATAGCCTATAATGGTGTAAATAATTTATATATTTTTCATTATAAATAATTTCTTAACGTGTAGAAATGATTGAATTGATAATTGTATTATACATGCCATAGAAATGTTAATATTTATTTAATAAATAGGAAAATATTTTTTAGAGAGTAGTATTTTTAATGAATTTTAAATATTAGGCATGAAAATTTAAAATATATCTATGAAATATGAATAAAAATGTCAATAAAATTGCCATTTACTGAATTGATATCCTTGGTTGCTTGTAAATTGTAATATGTTTATTACAGTTTTTTTTTTAAAATTTAATTGAATTGTTTGCATTATATTTTTTTTATTTTTAGTTTGTTTATATATTATATATTGATTAATTTATTTGGAATGAATTAATTAAAGTTTTATTTTATACTTTTTGATTTTACTTTTATACTTTACCTTAATTCTTGTAAATCAATGAAACATCTTATAAATATTATGAAATATTAATATGACAAAATTGTATTTTAATGAGTTTTATATACAGTTTACATTGAAGTTACTTTAAAAACAATTTTAATATGAAACTAAACAAACATTTTTAATTAATTCCTACTTTACCCATAAATACCAATTGGTACTTAATAAAGGCTGAAAATGGGTTAATAAAGACTGGTTTTAAATTGTTAGACTTATGTTAAATAACAAATAAACAATTTTTAAATGATCTAAACAAGGAAACATATTTCTATAAGTATTTTTTATTAATATTAGCATTTAGCAATAAGCAAAATACATATTATATTCTTTATACTATTTCGTATTTATACAACTTGTATTCAGTATTGTATTTTAATTATACTTTTTTTCTAAAGCAATCAAGTTCCACAATATACAAACTAAATAGTAGTATGGTATTTCACAACTTATGTGTTCTATTTAAATTTTAAACAATATTCATAGTCTTTCTTGGGACTCAATACTTAATAATGTTTTAAGATTTAATAGAGTACATTTTGAATAATTTATAAATAACAGTCTACCGGCCACAATATTCAATACAGCTATTGACATCCAACAAGAAATGATAACTTATACTGACATTTTGTTAAGTAGAAAATTAACATTTATTCAGAACTATTTATGAATAGTTAAAGTAAATTTTATATTTTTATATAAAACAAAAAATATAATATTTGAAAAGAATTGATGTATTTGTAATAATAAAAATTACTCATAAAAACCAGGCATCCAGCCTTCATATTGTCAACCATGTAATAATATTAAAATTGTGAAACTGTATGTAAATTTATCAATAAGTAGAATTTTAACTGTACAAAATAATATGTATTTATCACTTATCAAAAAGTAGAATTTTAATTGTACAAATGTATTTATAACTTATCAATAATCTAAATTATATTTTATATCATGTCTATACAAATCATTTAATATGTACGACACGATTAAATTTGTTGTTTATTGTTAAACATGTTGTTTGTGTCAATTTTTATTTTGAGTGGCGTTATTTTTTTAAACGATCCATCTATACAACCATTAACACAAAACGTGGACTATATTATTCATTATTTCAAATGAAAAAAAAAGAACATCGAGCAACTTTAGTTTAGTCTTTCATTGTTTCTTAACAGAATTATAAAGGTACAAGCAAAGAGGTTAAAAAGAATATTATTTCGTGTTGAATATGTGGAGTTTCGGTAAGTTGCGCACTTACGTCTCGAACAGTTAATGTTTTATGTGTTCACCGGATAGTCAATAAGTGTCGAAGGAATAAGAGACAACTTACAGTAATCATCATCAATACTGTGTTTTGTCGCAGAACAGCGAGCAATATTGTCAAATATCGATTCGTTTACTGAAACTGAATGCCACTAATCATCATTGTCTAATCTCTTTGCTCCGATCATAATAATTGTCAATAATATTGTCGGATATTTCATAAGAAATATGGTAATGGTAATCTAAGGCATTCAATTAGTCATTTAAAGTCATTTTGTAAAATCGTAAATTGTTTTTTATATTTTGTAATCAATAGACATGTCATTTACATATCTACAGAAAATTTCAGGAATTCAAATCTCGTCATATTATGTTATTAAAAATTGATTACAAAAACGATCACGTGCGTTTTAGACAATAAACATAGACCTTATACTAAGTTGTTGTAGGTAAGACAACTGTAAATTAAAGAAGGTCTATGGTTTTAAAAGATAAAAAGAATAACCGTGAAAAAACTATTGTACCGCGTGCCACACTGTATGATTTACAGGTTAGAATGCCATGTTCGTGTATATTTTTTCTCCCATGAGCACCAAAGCATCCCCGGCCCGCATCGCATCTATCGACGATTAATTTTCACGTCTTTTCACTCTCTGTTCGTGATACTCGACCACGTTATTTAGCGAGTGTTACTTTAATTTGTAGAATTTTGTATTTCTAGCTAATATTTTCATTTCAAATGGCTCCTGCTGCAAAACAGGTAAAGAGTTTATTTTTAATTGTATATTCTGTATATTACAAATTTAATCGTGATACACGTACTTCCATCTCATACTCTAATTTATGACTGTCAAGTACTCGTGTTTTGCGTAGGGCATGTTTTCTTTTTTTACTTTCTTTAGTTAAAATAAAATGTTTGCTAAATGTTATTGATCTACACTTATTATATTTACTTACTTAAAATGATGACCTTATTTCAAAATAATTGGAAGCATTCTATTTTTTAGCCAAAAGCCGCTGGTGGTGATAAAAAGCCTGCGGCCAAGAAGCCGCAGGCTCAGCAACCCGCCAAGGCTAAACAGGAAGCACCTAAGCCAAAAGCTGAACCTAAGGCCCAACCTAAGAAGGCTGAACCAGTAGTTGAACCCAAACAACAACCGAAAAAGGACACCAAACAACAAGCTCCTAAGGCTCAACCAGCACAAGACAAGAAACCGGCTAAGGAACAACCCAAGAAAGAAACCGTAACTATTTTTGATTATTTACAATTCTAATTATATGTATCTCAATTTTAAATTACCTTTTTTTTTCCAAGGCACCTGCACCAAAGAAGGTTGCACAAAAAGGTAGCCAGGACAGTAAGAAGCCTGCTCCACAGCAACCATCTAAGGCTAATGCTAAAGTTGAACCAGCTAAGGAAAAACCCAAAGCTGCCAAAGCTGACCCTAAGGCTAAAAAAGCCGAACCAGTGAAAGCTAAAGAGCCTGAAGTAAAACAAACCAAGAAGGCTCAACAACAAGCAGCACCGCCAACCAAGGGAAAGAAAGAAGAACCTAAAAAAGTGAAGGAAGAACCCAAGAGCAAGGCAACTAAGCGTCCAGCTGAAGAAGCTCCTAAAGCTGTCAAAAAAGACAAGAAAGAACCAGCCAAAGCAGAAAAGAAGCCTGAACCAGCTAAAGTTGTCAAGAAAGAACCTGAAGCTGCCAAGAAAACTCCAGCTGCTGCCGCCAAGAAAACTGTTGAAAAGAAACCAGCTACCGATAAGAAAACAGCCACTGCTACAACTGCTCCTGCTCCAGCCAAAAAACCTTTGACTGCTGCTGTAACCGTTAAGAAGACAGTTGCTCCTCCAACCTTGAAGAAAGCACCGGGTGCACCTAAAAAGCTCGCTTTAACTAAGAAAGCAAACACTGTACAGAAGAAACCCAAGGCAACATTGAGGGGTAAAGGAGCTGCTTTGAAAAAGAAGAAGGAAACTAGAAAGATGACAATCGATTGT